ATAAAATGACATTTTAATAAAAACTCATAAATCACGAATATGATGAAATAAAATTATTATATATATACATATATATATATAATAGTTTTATGTAAAATGGATAAGGAAATTGCAGTGCCTTGAATTCATTAAGTAATGTTTTATTTCATTCTAACCTGTAACTCGGGAAATGTAACAAAAAAAATCTTAATCGTAATTTTACTTAAAACCAATTCATTTTTAAGCCCTTATTTTAGACATACATGGGATAACATATTATTGTTTGACTAAACGTTTAAAAATAACGCTAGAAATTTTATAATTAAGGGAATTAAACATAGGCCTAGGCATTTGAAAACATATAATGAAATGTGTCTTTTTCAAGCAATAATTCCAAAAAGAAAGAGAAGCATCGGACTTAATGCAAAACATATTCAAGACACACTGCTGTGACATTTATTAGGAATACCAACATAGCAGGAAAGCTGTGTTTTTTTTGTTATATTAAGCACAAACTAAGAAAAGTAAAACAAACCTTAACGTTTCAATAGCTAAAAGCACTGTGTTGTCCGCAGTGTTGTATTTGGTGGGGCGGGAGCAGCTGTGGGAGCGCGCTGTTTTTGTGAGTTGGTTTTTTTTTTTTTTTTTTGGTTCGGCAGAATTTGTCCAGTCGTGATGCCCCAGTCGTTAAGTGTGTAGACTGACTCAGTATGAAGAAGGTGTGTGCTCCTCTCTGACTGTCAAAGTATCTGCTCCAGTCGATGGTGATGGTCTTTTAGTGTTGAGGTCAGAATGTTTCTGCTAGTCCTGTAGTGTGGTCCCAGCCAGTTGCATAGCATCTATGTATGCAGGGTATGCAGGTGCAAATCATTTGTTTTTTCCTGGGTCAAAATGGTTTTCGGTGGTGGCTGACAGTCATCCATACACACAGTAAAAAGTTCCCTACCCACGTGCTCCCAATACTGACAATAAGTTTAAAATAAATACAAAGAAACAGTTTGTGATTTTTGCTTATCCTATTTATTCATTAAATAAAAAACAATCACTGTCAGGACAGATAATAAAACAACTTGCTTCTGTAACGGGGCTGACAAGACGTGAGACGTGCTGATCCATATGCAAGCTTTATTCAGCAGAGAGGTCAGAAACACAGGCAGGGTCAAACAAATGGCAAACAGGTATATGGCGGGCAAGACACAAAAATAATCCTAGGGCTAGCGAAGGTCAACGAACAGCGAACAGAATCAAAAGAGCGAGACTAAGGGGATAAATCCAGGAAATCAGGCAAGGAACAGAAACCAAGAAAACAGACAAGGCAAGACTAGGCTAAGGCAGGGTAAACTAACGAGGGCTCTGTAGTGTAGCTATCACTGGGGGCGATAAGCACATACAATACTCAGCAGAGGGAAGGGATCAGAGTGAGTGTTAAATAGTGAGCGAGTGATATGAAACAGCTGTGTGCAATCAGTGCTGTGTGCAATCAGTGCTGTGTGCAATCAGTGCAATGAATGATGGGATATGTAGTCCGGGGTGATATGCAACAGTGTGTAGTGCGAGAGTCAATGAAAATGGAAAGGGTGACCTCTGATGGCTAGCAGACGAAAGTTCATGGACCGGATACGTAACAGCTTACAACTACTTATGTAAACATTACCATTACCAAAGTAGTTAGAAAAAAAAAAAGTTTGTTAATTTATTACACTTGGTTGCTCATTTTATTTATTTATTTATTTATTTGGCCGCATTTTCTTCCAGACTGTGACTGAGAATTATTCAGTTTTACGAATAAAAAACAATCACTGTCAGGACAGATAATAAAACAACGTGCTTACAACTACTTTACATGTAAACATTACCATTACCAAAGTAGTTAGAAAAACTGGTCATTTATTACACTTGGTTGCTCATTTTATTTATTTATTTATTTATTTGGCCGCATTTTCTTCCAGACTGTGACTGAGAATTATTCAGTTTTACAAACTCTTCTAAATTAGGCTTCTCTCACTGTCATCCTTTCTTGGCCTCTTTGCAAAAAAAAGCTGTGATTTTTCCACTGGCCTTCATAGCTTTGTAAGATAAGATGCTTTTTTTGCTAGACCTGATAATTATTTTGGAAAATAATTATATAAATATTAAAGAGTACCATTTAAAAAGTAGCCTTAAAAATGTATTTAACTAATAGTATAATTTTCTACCATATACGATTGAATAAAATTAGCAGCTAGATAACAGCAACTTGCTTTGTGCTTTGGTCTGGTTTCACTTCACTCCAGTCTAAACTAAATGATTTTATAGGTAATTTACTACACATTGTCATATAAATAACATGAAAATACTGTGATTTATTAAGGCTAAATCTTACTAATCATTCTTGCTAAATGGGGTAAACACACTTACGATCTCATTTTCTGAAATGTTCTGAGTAAATGATTTGTTATAAACCGATTCAGACAGTGATGTCTCGTGAGTTCAGTGTTGGACAGATCACTTGTTCTAACCATTAAATAAAATGAATCGGTTCAAAGGAGTCGTTAGGTAGCGAATCGGACATTAGCGCACATGGATGCGATGTGTGCTAATCCCGGCTGTTAGGACATTGCAAAAATTTGTGTCAACACAGAAAACGCTTCATCACTGCACAGGATTTTTATTCGTTAACTGAAAGTGTGGTTTACGTCAGCTGCACGTGCGGAACGCTTCTCAGAGAGGATAAAGTGACATGTTTTTTTGAGCGCAACTCACACCCAGCTGTAATTCAGGAAAAAAAAAATTCCCCGAATGCGCCACATGAAACAAGGATTCGGTCTTCCGACCTTTTTGCAACCCATGTTAAATGTGGTGCCTAAAGAAAATAAATAATATAATTGTATATTCTAATAGTTACACTTTTAATTAAAAAAGTTAAATGATCTATTAATATGCATTGTGAATTAATTATGTATAAATAAAAATAATTAGTATTATAATTGAGTGCAGAACATGTGATGTATTACACGTACACGAGTTGTGTATGACGTAAGCAGATGACTCACGGAAGTGCAAGAGACGCGCTGAACACGAGATGAGAGCGATACAAAAGGGGTTAAAAAGGTTTATATTGTAATAATTCATTTAATGTGGTTATAAGCAACTTTATAATACTTTATGGTTGATAATGATAAATCGTTTTAGAATGATGATTGCTGATTTAAGCGTGGATGCTAGCCGATTGTGAAGCTCCTTTGAATCTGAAGCGAATGTTTATCAAGCTGTGAAACTCGGGATTTGGTGAGTTTATATGTATTTTATTTTCTTTGAAAGATGTATTTTGTTACTATGCATATCATTATGCATGTTGTAAAGATTGTTTGCATATTTTCTGATTGTTAATATGATTTATTTTGGAATGTTGAGTGATATATTCTGCTTAGCAATTAATGAATATTAATTTCCATATTCTCAATATGCCTGTAAGATAACATGTTCATTATGAAAGTGGATATGGATGTTTAAACACTCAGTTTAAAGAGAAAATGATATAGAGATCAATTTTGAATGTTAATGACACTGTTTTGGTAAAACAGGTCAGGTTTATTGGTTGAGTTGAGAACCTCTCTCATGGATTTGAGATGGCGGGCCACCAAGGGAAAAATTGAATGCTGATTTCTGAACCTGGGAAAAAGACACTTTTGCTGCATCACAAGGATTCTTTAAATTCTTCAACTTTCTTCAATTAGGAGGACATTCTCTTTTGTTCGGGTACTTCTTTGAACTGGTAGGATTTAACTGATTTTGCACTCACCCACTGGATTTCTTACAGGACTTTCTGGACGATATTCAAAGACAATTCAGACAAAGAGTTCTAACGAGTATTGTTTATTGAATGTTATTGAATGTGAGTCAGATGTAAATTTTGGATTTATTTTTATTTTTATTTGAACATTTTAGTTGTCTCAAGAAGTTCCAATTTGGTTGAATTTTGGGTATATAACATTGTATCTTGTTTAAGGGTTTATTTGGTTTGTCTAAACGGTATAGAAAGTAATAACGCTAAAAGCAAAATAGAATAAGAACCCTAAACTCAAAAAGTCAAATAAAAGTCTTACTAAAATCTACGTACACCGAGATAGCATAGATAACTTACATTAAATTGTTTAAGAAAAACATGGAGAGAAAACAAATCTTAAAAGAATAAGAGAAGAAAACCAAAGACAACAGAGAATTCATATTTTGTGTATCATTTTATTTTTATTATTGTTGTTGTTGTTTCAAATTTTGTTTCATGCCATTCAGGTGATTGTTCAATTATAATATATATTTTTTGAGTATCTTCCTCAAATGACTTTGTGATCCATTTACTGCCAGTATTAATTCTGTTCTCCACTAACCTAGCCAGCCAGGAGAACAGTGGTAGTAAATATCTTCTGAATGGGTTTCTGAAGTTCCTGAAAAGGAAAAAAAAAAAGCAGATTATACAGACCTGAGCTTACGTTAATTCAAAGAAACATAGATATTGTTGAAACGGAAAATGTTAAAGTTGTGAACTCAGTGATAGTTTGTGGGTTAACTGACACTGAGCTTGATGAAGACCTAGTTGACTTTCTAAATAAACATGGACGTGTTAGTAGACATCTGAGAGTAGATGACCCAAAGTCGCCTTTTCATAGAGACGTTATTGTAGAGTATGCAAGCCTTGGTTGCAAGCCTGTTACTTTGCTGAGCTGCAGAAATTAGCTACGATTAGTGGAAAGACTTTTGAGGAACTTCTGAGAGAACAGTTATCTCAAGCCACTACATCAAGTGCTGAAATTGCAACAGATGAGAACGAACCAAAGATTTCCTTGGGGACTGGCACTCCCACACATGATCCTCTTACCTCATTCAAGGGAGGGAAAAGCGCAGAAGCTTGTCAAAGCCCAGAGACTGTGAGTTCAGTGGTCTTTGAAAAGAGAACGTCAGCTTTCGATGTGGCTGATGTAAACCCACCCGATATCCAACGTGTGGTAGTTGAGCACCTAATAAAGAATGAGGGAATTCCGCACATGCATGCACCTTCCAGACTTAGAGTGTTCTCTGGGAAAATTCCACGTCCGAGCACTGAAGTTGATTATGATGCTTGGAGAGGGAGCGTTGAACTGATTCTCCAGGATCCTTCTCTTTCTGATTTGCACCGTTCCAGGAAAATATTAGACAGTTTGTTACCTCCAGCATCAGAAATTGTGAGACATTTGGGTGCAACAGCCCCACCTAATGCATACCTTGACATTCTGGATTCTGCATTCGATGCAGTCGAGGATGGGGACGATCTTTTTGCAAGATTCTTGAACACATTGCAAAATGCAGGAGAAAAGCCCTCCTTGTATCTGCAGCGTTTACAAACAGCTCTCTTAAAAGCAATGAAAAGAGGTGCAGTTTCCAATGCTGAAGCTGATAAACAGCTCTTGAAACAGTTCTGCCGAGGCTGTTGGAATGACGCGTTAATAACAAACCTTCAGCTTGAGGGTAAACAAGACAGTCCACCTTCATTCTCCGAACTGCTATTGCAGTTGCGCAGTAAAGAGAATCGACATTCTGCCAAAGAGAGCCGTAAGCATCTGAATGTGCATCGTCAAAAAGCCAGCTCCAATGTGGTATCCACAAGCTCTTTTGACTGGGAGCAGGGTGCAGCATTGGAGGGGAGTGAAATTGCAGAACTGAGACAGCAAGTCACAAAACTTCAAAGTCAGCTCAGTAAGCAGAAAGCTAAAAAGACAGAGAAACCTGTGCCACTGCAAAGTGATGATGTGCTTGAATTGAAGAAACAGATTGCAGAACTTCAGAGTCAGTTCACAAAGCTAGGATCCCAGAAGCCTCTAAAGCAAGAAGGAGACCGTGAGACCAAACAGGCTTGCTCTAAGCCCACTGCTTCAGCTGTTGTGCAAAAGTCCCAAGATAGACCTAAGCCAGGTTACTGTTTCCGCTGTGGCGAAGATGGACATAACACATCTGGTTGCGAAAGCGATCCCAACCGACCTTTAGTGAATGAAAAACAGAAGCAGCTGAGAGAACGACAAAGTCTGTGGGACCGCCAGCAGTGCCCAGTGGTCTCAGAGTCTTTAAACTGGAATTAGCCCCTGTAGCGAGACGTACAAGGGCTACCATATGCAAAACTAGTCTCAAAGGATCCACAGGAAGGAGTAGTTCTGAGTTTTCCCATAGTAGAAGTCCGTTGGCCAGCCTCCCAAAGGGGCTGATAGGGGAAAAGTGTACTGCTCAAGTATACATAGAAGGGAAACTATGTTCCTGCCTCCTGGACACCGGGTCGCAAGTGACGACAATCTCCCAATCCTATCATGAGCAAAACCTGCCTGAACTAAGTATAATCCCTTTGGAGAATCTTTTGGAAGTGGAGGCTGCGAATGGACAGGTAGTACCCTATTTGGGGTATGTAGAAATGAGGGTCAAGTTTCCTGAAGATTTTCTTGGGAGTACTGTGGAAGTGTCGACACTTGCACTGGTTATTCCAGATACCAGTGGCACCGCTCAGCCAAAAGTGCTCATAGGTACCAATACTTTAGATTTGGCATATGGGAAACACCTCAATGACTCTGTCTGCAAATCTATTCCATTCGGCTATAAGGCAGTAGTGAAAACAATTGAGTATCGAAGGACTCAAAGAGTAAACAGCAGTGTAGGAGTTGTTAGACTCCACAGCGCTGATGCCGCTGTTGTACCTGCAGGGCAGAATCTTGTCTTGGAGGGAGTCGTAAGTGTAAAGGGACAAGTGACAGATAGGTGGGTAGTGATGGAACACCCCTCTCATTCTTCTGTTCCTGGAGGACTTTTAATCGCTAGCTGTCTTTTTAACTTACCTAAGCATCCATCCTGTAAAGTCCCTTTAGTGGTTAAAAATGAGACAGAGCACGATATCACCATTCCTGGAAAGAGTGTAATTGCGGATATCCATGCCATACAGAGAGTAATTTCAAATAAGAGCAATCAGAAAGGAGACATGTCCTCAAAGGTAGAAGAGAAGTCTACAAAGGAACTCTGTTTTGATTTCGGCGACTCTCCATTACCTAAAGAATGGAAGGAGGGGATTACCCAGAAGTTACGGGACATGTCAGAAGTTTTTGCTGTACATGATTTTGATGTTGGACGAACTGACAAGGTTAAGCACAGCATCAAGCTACATGATAATACTCCTTTCAAGCACAGGGCCAGACCCATACATCTTGATGACTTTGAAGCGGTTCGTCGACATCTGGAAGAGTTGCTTGAGGCTGGAATCATCCGGGAATCAGAATCATCCTTTTCGTCACCCATTGTGGTTGTCAAAAAGAAAAATGGCAATGTGAGGCTGTGTATCGATTATCGTAAATTGAACACACAGACCATCGTTGACTTATGTGTTAACATCTGCTAAACTCGATGCGGCAAGTTACAGATGGCTTTCAGCCTTGTCTACGTTCTCTTTCACACTGCAGTATCGGCCGGGAAATAGCAATCTAGATGCAGATGGGTTGTCAAGACATCCTCATGGAATGCTCACCAATGACTGGAGGAAAAGGATAAGCCCAAAACTGCTTTTGTTTGTCCCCTGGGGTCAATCGTATGCCCCAGGGGATAACGAATGCTCCCAGCAAATGTCAACGACTTATGGAGAAGTGTATGGGTTGATGTAGTCCAAGCTATCAGCGACAAACATCTGGTACGCACAGTTGAGGACGGCAATTACATTCCTCTTATTGAATCCCTTTCTGTGAGTTCAGAGGCGATCCCTGATCCCTGCGTGTTTTGAAGGATTTCCAATCGTTCCTCTAATAAGCACACAATTTCAAAACACGTCCAAACGGTCATTGGCTAAGGGGTTTGCGTATGCGGGTTTGTGGACGCTGCGTGCCACCCACCTGAAATTTTTTTCATATAGTCTAGGGGTGGATGCTTTCTAATATCTCGTTGACCACCGCTGACCGCTCCCAAGCCACGCCCCATCCCACGAACCCACAATTTGTCCGATTACCCACTATTTTTGGCAAATGTCGCACTTGCAACATTCACACCTTTTTAATTTACGCCATTATAGAAAATAATGGGTTCGTAGACAGTTGAATTTTGGGATGAAACTGGGTGCTGTGGACTCAGGGGGACCTGCTGAGTGCATTCTTGCCATTTAAAGAATGGGATCGCTATAATAGGTCAGTGGGATGATTGTCCTCTAACCACTTAAAGCGTCCCCATACAATAAATTGCAAGTGGGACATATGTCCATTTGCCATTTAATGAATGGGACCGCTATAATAGGTTAGTGGGATGATTTTCAACTAACCACTTAAAGTGTTCCCATACAGTAAATTGCAAGTGGGACATATGTCCATTTGCAATTTACTGAATGGGATTGCTATAATAGGTTAGTGGGATGATTGTCCACTAACCACTTAAAGTGATGACCCCGGATGGGTTTCGGGAGACCTGACCCCACCGGGGGCCCGACGGGAGCCCCCCAAAATCCAAGACCTCCAAATGCAGTACTGCCTTCCTCCACTGTGTGGCACCACACCCGTCCCACTCTAGGATTATTGCAATGGGCTTCTGGCCCATTCATATAGTCTAGAGGTGGATGCTTTACGCCATTATAGAAAATAATAGGTTCGTAGACAGTGGAATTTTGGGATGAAACTGGGTGCTGTGGACTCGGGGACCTGCTGAGTGCAGTAAAATCATTTTTATCATGAATGCACCTTGATTTAAAATGTCCAAATAAACACTATCTGGAGCCCATGCAATTAGTCTGAATTGCGACAATACATAGTAGATAAGTGGACAGTCATCCCATTTGCAATTTATTCAGTGGGATGTGGGAGTTGAAAACAGGAAGTATGTCCACCTGCAATTTATTTAATGGGCCTTCTGTACTGGTCCCGTGGACACATGTGAATAAAGTGTATTTTTCATAAGCATGAGTGATACTGTTGATAAAACCACCTCTACTGTACTCAGAAAACTCAGTGGAAACCATTCATGTCAGTTTCATGTCATAATAGTGCTGAATTTGCATAAAAATTATGTAGAATTGAAAAGATCCCACCTGCAACTTATTTAATGGGCCTTCTGTACAGGACCCATGGACACATGTGAATAAAGTGTATTTTTCATAAGTGTGAGTGATATTGTTTATGAGAACACCTCTACTGGAAGCAGGACACTCCAAATAACCCATTCATGCAACTTTCATGTGATAAAATAGGGTAATATGCATAAAAAATGAATGTCCATGGAACCACTATATAGGGCCCACTGAATAAATTGGAAATGGGATGTTTCTTTATGTTAGATTAAAAATAACATTCATATTGGGGCCAGGGCCTAGGGGCATCAAATGCTTGAGCGTGGGGCCCTGATGTACGACGTAGAAAAGGGCCAAAGTCCTCAGCATTTGGGAAGACCTTTAAAAAAAATCAGCAAAAATATTCAGTGAAAAATACAGACATGTGCTCACCCCTTTTTGGACCTTTTGACCCCTAAGCAAGGTCGTAGGGCCACCAAACTTTTCCGCCCACTCGAGGGGGTCCCCTTGAGACAAAGATTTCGAATTCGGCTCGATCGAACCCTTCTGAGTCGTGTCTGCGAACCCTCTATGGAAAGCCCATTCAAATAAATTGAGTACAGGACTTTTTTAGGGAGGTCCCACGGGGCCCAAATCGCACGTTGAGTTGCCTCAGGAGCCCCGGAGCGATGTGCTAAAGGGGCCTGGGCATGGGACCCCAAAAAGTATTTTTCTTCATTTTACATCTATTTCTCTGTCTGCCATTGAAGTCGATGGGAGAGGCCTAGAAACAGGCCCGATTTCAGTAAGACATGCGGCCGGACTTAAAAGGCTTAGGAAGCCACCAGGGCCCTCAAACTCAGGAGCCCGAACGGGGGGCCCACGACGGCGGTGCGTGCCGAGTTTTGAGGCCCAGTGACCTTCTGTCTCCATACGGGAGGCGTCCCGCTTCCCATTTAAACGCGTAACTGTTTTGTCCTGAAGTGGAAGGAAATTTATTTGGGCCTTTGGACAAAATCTCTACTGCAGGCCTCTCTGTCTTATACCCACTCAGAGCCTTTTGAGTGACTTTATGCTTAAGGAGAACTGTATTTGTTCAGAAGGCCGTACGTCTTTGTACTTCGGGGCTGTGAGAGAGGGGCCCCTGGGATGCAAGAATCTCGAATCTCGGGGCCCTACTTCCTATGGTCTCCGAATGGGGGACGTCCCTCTCCCCATTTAATCGCGTAACGGTGTCGTGGACGCGTGGTCCCTTTTTTGACCTTTTGACCCCTGAACATGTTCGTAGGGTCACCGAACTTTTCCGCCCGCTAAAGAGACCTCTGACAATACACAAATGGCGCCCTCTAATCGATCTGCCTTTTCGGAGCCGCGTCCACGAAACCGCTAGGCCAAACCAATCAAATAAGTAGCAAGTGGGATTTATTTATAAAGGTCCCAGGGGCCCCAAATTTTGCACCGTGGCCCCTGGGGCCCCCCCCGAGTTACGTACCGAGGTCCCCCGGTTCTAAAGCGGAAGAAAAAATGTTTTGGCCTTTGCACAAAATCTCTGCTACAGGCCTCTCTGTCTTATACCCACTCAGAGCCTTTTGAGTGATTTTTTTGGTCGGGAGAGGAGCTGTTTTCAGAAGGTCCTATGGCTTTGAGCTTCGGGGCTGAAACTTCGATGAAATGAAATATTATTTGCAATGCTGAAAGACAGATTTTAATGTGTCAGGAGTTTTAAACTCACAAAGTTATGTTAGAGCTTCTGAGCACAAGAAGCTTAGTTTAGTGTTTCTGTGAAATGTAACACTTTATTAGTGCAACTAAGCAAATGAAGAGAATGCAAGCCCACTTATGCTGAAAACCTTCCTTCTCTGTAAGAGAAAGTTGCTTTACGAAATGTTAAGACTAAAGCTTGCCCACATGAAATATGTTTCTTACATATGAAAAGAAATTTTATTTGCAATGCAGAAAGACAACTTTTAATGTGTTAGGAGTTTGGTGCTTATGAAGTTATGTTAGAGCTTATATGTACAAGAAGCTTAGTTTAGTGCCCCTGTGAACAGTAACTTCATCAGTGCAATTAAGCAAATGAAGAGA